GTGCGATATCTGTGATTAGCATGTCAGAAGACCGCCATAGACGAAGTTTGAGCAAAATCCGCAGCAAGAAAGTTTTGGGGATTCGGATAGCCGAATTCCGATTTTTTGCATAGCGCTTAATTTCTGTACTGTCTCGAGCCATTTTTGGTTTTTCTTGCGCTTCTGTGAAGTTGCGCATCATGCTGAGCAATGATCCGGACTTTGACATTATCGACTGCCTTTATAAGTTTAATTTAGGCAAAATTTGCTCTAGGCGGCTAGAATTTGGCAGCGAGGGTGATGCTGGTTATGAAAACAACTTTGACTTGAAAACATGTTTTACATTTATTATTTCCGGATTATTCAACTGGAGTGGAACGCTGAAGTTTAGCAATAGGATAAGTGACATAGTGATCACGGCGGAAATAAAGTGGGACAAGGAACTGACACATCAAAGCGGGACAGGGACAGGGGGATATTGTGAAAAATGGGACGGAATGGGGAATTCTACCATGTTATGTACGCACTGAAAGCGCAGCCATACATGTAAACTCCAGTGTTTTTTTATATTTATGTGATCCACTGTAACCTGCCTAATTCCCAGCTTTTCAAGTCACTTCTCTAGCCTAACAGCAAGTTTTTTGGCGTTTTCACTAGCTATACAGAAAATGGCTGAAAAAAACGACCAGCAGCCGGGATCGCGATCACGCAGAAATGAGAAATGCGTTCTCTATTGTTTGCTATTCAAAGTGAAAGATAACGAAAATGCTTCGATGGCAAGCAGGTAGAGCAGTATCTCTGGTGCTTCAGAAAGTAATGCCATCTTCAAGTTTGCTCATATCCCTGGATGGTAGAGCGCACACACGAAATGAACATCTTGTTGGGATATATCTCGATTATTTTCAGAAGAGTGTTCAAATCCGGTTCAAAACTGAAAGAAGTCAAAAGAGTAAAGTGGGACCGAAAAGATGCCTACGGAAATATTGTTATACCATACACTATTGCGGCGGATTATGGTATATAGACTATAGCTTACATACAAAAAAAGATATGTGTTTTAGTGGACCAGGCAATGGAAAATCTCAGCATAGCAATGAAAAGAATTGAGGATCATACGTGCATACGTTTTACAAAGAGAAAGAATGAGAAGTACTATGTGAAGATCGTAAACGAAAAGGGTGGAGGGTGAGTGTTTTTCCTGTTTTGTGGGATAATGGGATTCCAAGCTGTTATAGGCGTTTTAAGGAACGGGTCATGAGCCCCAGTCTGCGCGAATTTTCCGCGAAGCACTGCAAGGAGTAGGGGACTATATGTCGCCGAAACCCCAGTACATCTGCAAAGTGCACATTCCTCTACATGCTCAGACTAAGTATCTGCTGCATTGTCCGCGCGGGATCCTTCCACTTTCGGCGACA